ACTCACAAAAACCAGACCCAAGGCCAACGTATAGCACAATATATGTGGACCACGGTGTTCTGGTTCATGGCTGGGACCCTCCCGGCTCCTGCCTGATGCGCGTCCTGCTGCTGCGGTGCAACCATCGCCGGCTGAGCAGCCTATTCTGCATCGTACTATCGCTTCAGGTGTGACACCGGTATTCCGTATCATGGCTACTGCGGTGGCACCGCTGTATCTCGCGGCGCCGCCGTGTTCGGAGTCTCCGGCGATCCCGCCAGAGAGTCTATATGCATCTGTGCTTTGCGCCCGAGTCATGTGGCAAACAGGTTCGAGCTCATGGGTGGTGTCATAGGCACACTGACGTCGCGCGCGGTGTCCTTGCTGTCCTCAATCTTCTTGTGAAGCTTCGACTGCGACTCTTCAGCAGGTGCTCACCGCAGCAACGACTGGAGTTTGTCCAGTCGTTCGGCCAGACAACGCATGAGATCCTGCAGCTCGGCTGCGCTGTCTCTGTCGCCCGTGGGGTTGTTGCAGCTGCCCCTTTAGTGAGCAGCAGCGGTGCTCTCATCTGAGATGTCACCAGTCATCACAGCCCTTTCGCGATTGAAAACCAGCACTGACGTCGTAGCGGGTGCTTCGTGGGCGATTCTGATCATTGAGCTCAAGACATGTGGAAAGTTGGTACGTAACCTGACTTATTAGCACTTGAATACACACGAGGATTTGTTACGCAAAATAGAGAATGTTCAGTTTAGAGCTCGTCCTATAGCTTCCTATTCACCTCTCAGTCCTCTTTGTTCCTTGCCAGGGGTCTGGTACGCCAGTATACACGTTTTTGGCCAACGACAAACACTTTTCCAACATGGCAAACAGAAATCGACGCGAGCAAACACAAAGAGCTGCTTTTGACCACTAGCAAACCCTTTATTTACCGCTAGCAAACATGATAAACAGTACTTTTCTGTCCACGCCGTGTTACGCAAAAGAGTCGCGAAATTTACAATAATCTGACACAATGATTGATTTATTAGGAGCGAGCACTAAGCGAATACTAATACAGACAACGACGGTGAAACTCAACCCCCCGTAGACATGCATTTTCAAGTCATTTTTAGAAAGGCCAACAAGACAAAAAAACTCGACCCCTTTCGTGGTATCACCTGCGATTGGTCAAAATTATACCGACCCAACAGTTTATTAAAAGTAGAAAAAACAATTTAAACAAACACCGTAAAAAAGCAAAAACATGTATTATTTTGCTCTACACCATCACGACAGGGTGTTTTGGGATTGCTTTTTCAAAGCTTTTAATAACACATTCCGTAGATGTGTTTTCCCACGCTCTAATTGTGCGTGTTACGGCAGCCAGACGCTTTTCCTTCGCGGTTCTTGTAACATAATAAAATCATTAAATCATTAAACAAAACTTACCATCCGCTCTAATGGTGAGAACTGCAGTGAGTCTACCAGAGTTTTTCTGCGTGTGCTTCACTTTAGCGGAGCCACGACGGCCTTTGAGGGCCCAAATCTTGTGGGGTGGGGTGTCAAAATATATTGCTGTCTCGTCGACATTGTATATGGCGGATTGCTGGAAGTGAGAATGCTGTTTCCAAAACTCTATGGCAAAGTTCAAATGGATTTCTTGTAGTGCATCTTCATCCTTTTTAGTAAATTGCGGTTTCTGAACAGAAAAACCATGGCTATAACATTAAGAAAAATATGTAAGCAATAAATATTGATTAAAAACACAAATAAAATAGGATAAATTGCTAAAACGTTTGATTAAACCAACATATTGGAAAACGAGATGCTTACCGAGCTGCAAACCGCTGGCACGTACGCATCAACACGCTCAATGCGCGCTCAGGAGATGATTTATCGGCTAAATACTGCTCCAGCCAAGCCCCCTGCTCCATCTTCATATACTCGATCATGCCTCCAGTACACAAATACTATATATACAGGCTAGAATCTGCAATAAATAATATAACAAAGCAAATTTACCTCTTCATCCCGACGGACGTCTTTCATGAAGGTGACCAATTCGTGCTCAAATGTGAGTTTAGTCTTTGCGCCTTGTCCTTTTGTCGTTCTGCTAGTTTGAGGTCCCTTAAACTCAAACAGCAGCTTTGCCTTCTTTCTCCAGCCCTTCAACATACCTAATGGAATATTAAGCGCCCGAGCGGTAGGCTTACATCCCTCCAAAGCCACCCGCTCGAACGCTTCCCGTCTCTGCTTGACGGTGTAGCTGTTATGCCGACGACGTTCGTTCATCACTTCGCAGAAACAGCAATAGCGTGATTGTTTAAACGGCGCCAGCATGGCGTGCTGTCCAGCAATATATTTGAAAGTATATTATTGGCTAAAATTACAAATAACATTTTTACTTGAGTTTAAAGTTGCACTGTAAGGGGGGTCGAATTTTTGTGGGGAGTTGAGTTTCACCGTCGTTGTCTGTATGTCCATTCTGCCAGTTTGTTGTTGATGTGTAATGACCAGCCGCGCTACGCTTGGCGGGGCGCCTCTTCGGCGCCCCCGCGGTCCGCTTCGCTTGCGATTATAAGACTAAATGAGCTGGAGAGTGCAATGAGCGACTCGCTGTTGAGCTCGGCGCTGGGCCCACCTTCGCAAATACTGCGCGACCCTGCTTCACGGGTACCCCGCGCAGGTTTGCTATGGCTACGCGCACTCGCGCACCTTAGTTGGGCAAACCGCTTGAAATGTTTGTCCATTCTCTGTACATAAGAGTTTGCTGGTGGTCACTTTGATGTGTTTGCTTCTGTCATTTTCTTGTCTACTGTTGAGCTTTACACGCTGAGGTTCAGCCAATACCTCGTCCTGTACCATTGTATTCGACAAACACAAGCCCTTTT